TACAGATATGTACATGATGAATAACATTGAGTTACCTGTTGCCCAGACACAGGATGACTTAATAGTCATCGTTAGCTAAGACTTAGAACCTGCTACACACTGTCATGTGATAGCCACTAAAGGTTTTAGAACTATATGGTTAATACCTAGGGCTATTATCTATGTTGATGCTAAAACCTTCTAGACTTTGCATACCGTATTTGTGCGTCGTAAACTCGAGCACTGCATACAAGCAGCTACCCTATACATAGAACAAGACAGTGAGCTGTTGAAAAAGGTTCAAAGAATCGCAACCAGGCTGATTTCTTGAATAGCAAAGGTCCAATATCATGCTCGACTGATTAAACTAAACCTATTTCCATAGTCTTATGGAAGAACCAGAGGTGAATTGATTACAGTTTTCGAATTGCTAAGTGATAAATTTGCATATGATATATCCTCATTTTTCTTGTCTTGCAAAAGAAAGAATTTACAAGGATATTCTAAAAAAGTTCACAAGCCTAGAACAAATCACTTGTCAGATGATTATCAACTTTCCCATAGAATCATGAACGAATAGAATTCACTAGTTCAACATGTGATTGAAGTTCTATATGTCGTCCCTTTCAAAAGAAAGTTAAATCAACTGAGAGATCACCATTACCACAGGCTACCTAGCCTCCTGTCCCTTCAAAACTGAATGCGAAACTGTGACAGGCTCATACAAAACTTTTCTGCAAAGATAAGAAGGGCCTTTGCCACTGTAGGTCAGTTGGGTATACGCGTAATAATTGTTTTATACATGGCTTATCTCTGTAACCGGCCCGTGGATTTTTTCAAGTTCATAAGATTGTGCTCAAACACATTCCAACAAATGAGCTTGTGGTGACATTAGTTCCTGACTATACGACCTTTGTAGCCTAGCATATAATTGCTGGAAAATTTTATATTCAACAACAAACACAAAGAGAAGGTCAACAATGGTGTACGCGGGAACATTCAATACACTCTGTTGGCATGAGGTGGCTCAGTCTTGCAGGCGTGGTCATTCTTGCGTAACCCATAAATTTCCACATTAAATATATCATTCCATGCTCAGCCAAAATATGTTCCTCCTAAGTGCTAAGGGCTATATTGTTGTCACGATACAATGAGTCAGTGTGGACGATGATGTAACTTCCACGAAAGGCAGTCACATCATGACAAGTCCATAATTTCGAAATTATGTATATTGTTACAACAGTACTAATAACGAACTAGACCCTAATTATACAAGCCTCCAAATACGGCGTATAATGCACCAACCAACCTGGAAGAAGGACGGTTAACAACAACTATGGTCTAATCGATGAATTACGTCTAACATTTCGGTCATCTTAACTAAGTTACTCTAGGTCTTGAGAGACGTTTTTCCAACCATAGTTCAGGTTTCTCACTTAAAAAGCAAAAACTACATTTATAACTAGTAGTTACACAATCGTAAGGAGAGATTAACACGTTTAATGATTGATGACCATCCTGTTTTAAAGTTATTCGGAACTAAGTTGTTTTATCTGCGCTCGACACTTTATAGGATAGTCAAGGCGATGGATAAACCAAATATGTCTCAAACCAAATGATTCACTGATGACTGCATTCGAAAGTTCCTAAGTCAGTTATATTTAGGGTAGGATTAAGTAAACAAAATACGGCTTTAGGACTTCTCAAAATGCTTCTAATATGAAAAAGAATTACCTATATGCCATCGTTTACTGGTTGATAGATCACAACTAAGTGAACTGTAGAGGTAAATTAACCCTTGAAATAAGCGGTTTCGTAAGCCTTCGTTAATGATATTGACCTCAATAGGCGTTGTGGACAACAGAGTTACCAAGAACTGAATTTCTGTGACATCTTTTACGCACTTTTTTTACAAATAAATCGCTGTTAATATTGAATCCCTCACCTGAGTTTGTCTCTTGTTTTCTGTAGGTGAAGTTTTGTTCTCTTGTGAGATCTATTTATTTCGTGTTCTGATATTTTCATTTATTTATTTGTTCAATCAGATTGTTTGTTTCAACATTTGTCCTCTTTCCTTCTATGGATTCTAATTTTGCAATTTTCGCCCCACAATCAACAGACCGACCACTTGATAACGTGGTATCGGCAGTCGCAAGACGCAGTAAGATGTGTTAATATGAGATGGTTCTTATTATTTCCAATTAGTGCCATAAAAATCTTTTGGTTACGGATAACAATTAATTGAAATCTATGTAATAACATATAAAGTTTGGTTTTAAACGTCGCAATCGGCGAACGAAATCCAAAAAGCCTGATACGTACCTTACCATCGAGGCGTCAGTGCAAAGAAACCATCTTGTTTGCACCAGCTTATAAAAGTGTGTATTTGGGTCTGGATACTCACAACCTATTGTACTGTGGCAGCTTATTATTCAGTGCCTTAGCGACAACGTCGGTGAAAACACAGATAATATTTTTGAGATGAAAAATAAATTCATTTATCTTCAGAAATTCTTGTTGTTAAAGTGACTAGGTTGGATAGTGTTGATAAGCCGAGAAATGCACTATGTATCCCGTAAGGTGACCGGATCTTTTCGTAAAATCTAATTTGGTCATCACGAATTCACGTGCACTATTAAACCTTTTCTAACTACACGAAATACATAGGTTTTAGTGGTATGGGAGCTTTTATGTCACCTACTGAAAAGTTCGGTTTAATGATGATATGTCTAACTGACGCTAGTATTGAAATGCAATGGCTGACTGGTCGGTCAATGCAGATGGATCAATCGGAGATGAATGGTATGAGTTTAAGTCCACATTCTAATTCGCAACACCACCGTTTATTCCATGGCCATCATGTAATCTAACATATTGCCCTCCATGGGTTATTAAGGAAACTCGGGAGCTATTGAAGAGTAGGAAACACTTTTAGAACATATTCCTATCGACAGGACACCCGTCATTTAAGCGTAAATGCAAAAATGCGGAGTATGTGTAAAAGAACCATAGCTAAATTCCTTGCTATCTACGGATGATAGCTGGTGTATGATAGCCGTAGTTGTCCGAAACGATTGGTTCCGCATGTTAAACGGCGAACAAAACGTAGTGATGGTATTCTGCTGTTACTGTTACACAAAACTTCAGATTTACTATCTGAGTGAGATTGGGGAAAAGCTGAGACTTTTTGAAAATATTTTGGCGAAATCTACAAATACTTGTCCCAATCACACCAAGATATCAAGCACAGGGTCTGTACATGTGACCGAGGAATCTATTCTTCTATTGTAAGGTACCGGTCCCTAACTATTAGCATCCACGACTACAGTCATCTCATCCGGACCTTCTTTCAAGACTGCTGGCGACGCTCTTCAACATGCCTCTGCAACTCCTCCAACTCCCTAGAGAGTAGAAAGACGCCACAGTCCCATATTTAAGGGTGATCAGAGACTACTGGTCAGTCAGTCTAACCAGCATAGTCGTTAAGTTACCTGAAAAAATAGTCACGCAGATCCGCACAATCTTTTTACTTCCAAGCAACATGGGTTTCGTAACAAGCGTCCATACTCGGCTAACTTAATTATTGTGAGAAAGGATTGGACAGAAACCCTAGATAACTGTCTGTATATCAACGTGATATTCATAGATTTTAGCAACACATTTGACAAGATTTCACACTCAGGTCTTATGCAGACGCTCTCGAAATTCGGAATGGCAGGTGGTGTACAGCAATGGATAGGAAACTTCTTATGTGACCACGGACAGAGAGTGAAGGCTAGTCGCACGCCATCCGAATGGAACTCGGTCAAAGATGGTACACCCCAAAGCACCATTTTAGGCCCTCTTCTTTTCCCTCTGTACGTTAATGAATCAATGCTATTGCTTAAGTCGTCAACATTATTGTTGGCGGATGATGTCAAAATCTGGAGAACAATAAAAATTGAGGTTGATCATTTTGATCTCAAAGTTGACTGAGACGAATTAGTTAGATGGGCTCGAGGTTGGGGCCCGGAAGTTATTTCTAGGAAGACTGTGCTCATGCGAATCGGACAGTGATAGTTAACATTATATTATTGGTGGTACATATCTTTAACGCGTTAAGGAACTTAAAAAATTAGGAGTAATAATAAGTCATGACTCGAAAACAACTACTATTTGCGACGCAGCTGGTGCCAAAGGTTTCCGCGCATTATGGACATTTCGCCGAGCACTCAAATGCTTTGACGAGGGAATGCTTCGAATTTTATGTCCCAACTGCGTAAGACCACACTTAGAGTACTGTATCCAAGCAGCTAGCTCATGTCTGATAAAGGATACTAACTCACTTAAGCGTGTTCAGAGTGTAGGAAAGATGAGCACTTAAAACGAGGTGGCCTCATACTGGCAGTTCGTATCTTCGCATATGAGTTAGGTGTTAATATGTCTTGTCTTTTTGCTCCCTCCAGCACTAATAATCTCAGAGGTCACAGCAAGAAGGTTCAAAACCCGCGATCTAGTAAACTTAAAGTGGGGTCCCGTTTTTGTCATTGAGTAGTCAATGACTGGAACGCCTTACCCGAATAAGAGGTATCAGCCCCATCGGTGAATACTTTCAAGGAGCTGGACTTTCACTGGAAGGCAAACTGTCAGGATTAGCACTGGTTCACCAACCTAATATCTTTATTACTGAAAACTGAAGACATAAGACCATAGTGTTTAACTCGAACATCTATCTGTAAATGCTGTTGGAGTAAATGTCTCTGCGAAATAGGCATAAATTTTCTGCTTGATTAGTTTCCAACTAACAGCACCCTTTCTATTAAAGGGTACTGATTCGATCGATCAATCATTCAATCAATCAACTAGTCAGTAATCTTAAATCAAAGTTCGTTTCAACCTTACCGTTGGACTTTTACACATTGAACATTACCAAATACTTAAAAACGTACTGAAACAACAATAGAAGAGCGCAAAGAAATTTGTTGGCATGTATAAGCTTGCTACAAAGATATTGAGCTTTGGATATGCTGTCCGTTGGATAGTTTGACCGCATAGTTTTTGTCGTTGTTATGATCTACGGAGACAGCGCTCACTTCAAGTAAGCATGTTTCTAGCAAGTCAAACTATCTGTTCCTAATTTCGATTTCAAGATTTCCCTGATTTGAGGATTGACTTATTGCTCATCGTCCATTGTCGTCCTCAGTACGTGTAAGTAAAGTGTATGCACATCCTGGTTCCTTGACTTACCTGTTTTTGTTCTTTTTCCAGAACATCTAACTCACCATACTCTGAATCCTCCTGTAAAACACAAATTACATTCTAAATATAAGCGAACTGCCACACGTTTTTTGATAAGGTTGTTTAACAATCACTTCTAGAGATTTTTCCATCTTATTATGCGTGCTTGGATTACGGTTCAAATGTGTGGTAAACTGACCATTGTACATGCAGTTGTTTGACAATATTACAGCTTGCCTGTTGATTATAATCAGCTCACAGTAGACTGAGAATTGATATAAATGCCTATCTGTTGGAAATTTTTAAGGATCATATGAGCAATTGAGTACCTCTGACAAGAAATTTTGGCACTATCCTGGTTGGACTACACCAAAATACAAGGCAACCCAAGCTCCCAACTTTGGGGAAATTTTGGGGGTTTTGTGCCGTTTTCCCAAAGTTTCCCAAAAATTTACTAAAGCGGCTTCCCCAGAATGGGTCAAATTTTCCCCAAAATTGGGAGCTTGGGGATAGGTCAACTAAAATTCGCTTATCGGGTTTTAATACTATATCTTGGTACTTGTCTGTTGATCTACCATAGGATTCGAAAATGTTGGCCTAGTCTTTAATTGACTCAGGAAACACAACTTTTGGATGGCTCAATGGTATCAATTGGATTTATTGGCAGTTTAGTACTAAATAAAAATTTTACATCTACCCAGTTAACAACATTTATATCAGTTAGCTTTCACGAGGAAATAATCAATCACTGTATCTTTTTGGACCAAATAGTCTCTATTCGTTCATGTCGCAACTAAAAGTTGGATATTATTGTATGTGATATGGACTTGATGAGGTACAATCCATTATACCAGCGTACTTTCATATGCTGTCAGGAATTTTTATCGTTCGACATGTGCTCTTGTCTAATAGATGTTTTGCTCGACATTGCCTATTTTCACTGAAGTACTTTCAGTTTGAGGAGGGAAGGCTAGGTGGGTGTGTTCGTCATCATGTTGGAGGTCTTCCATTTGACTCAACCATTTTCTACTAGCATTCAACGAAGTAGCTGTAGCCGATGGTCTCTGCAACTAGTTCTGTTAGTTGATGATTTATTGAAAAGTCGGAGGTTAGCTAATATGGTTGGTTTCAGGCTTTCTTCACTTCTACTGTTCTGGAACTCAAGAAAATGGTGGTCCAGCTTCAATTGACTCATGATCTCAACCATTAAAACTATTATGATAATTTTTTAGACAGTGTTACGCAATATTTCTACTATTAGCATTCAGTTTACTTAGCAGGTCACAATACTTACTTTTGTGTTTTCTACGATTTTTATAGATTTGTAATAAAAGCAAACAATAGTTATGTAATGTTTGAAATCTGTCAATGAATACTGAAAATAAATCCAAGCTAACATTATCAAATTGTGTTTGTGATATTTGTCAGTGCTTTAATAATAAACTAGAAAATAAACAATATACTCATGTTAAATGTAAATTGAATGATAAAGTTAAATTATGGAATCGTTACGAAGGAATTGTGAAATTTATTGGTCCTATTCATTTTAAAAGTAATGTCAGTGTTATTCTTGTTGGCATTGAATTAGATTCACATAGTAAGTAGTGAGATCAGTATTATTCTTTACACCTTTGATTACTACAAAAATTCTGAATAGTTTCTAGAATTACATTAAACAATTATAATCTCTACTGTGATCAAATGAAACGTATTCTTGTACCAACAACATTTTTTACATTATTATCACCAGGACAACGTGGTTATGCACAAATTAAAGGTTTTAAAATGAATCCAAATTATAAATTAATACAGAAAAATCGTGAACTTTATAAAACTATGTAAGTTGTAATTAGTTGTTTGGTGAGACTATATTTTATAGACGACCATTGAGCAACGCTAAATTGACCCTGAGAGTGTCCATCTAAGAACTAGGACAAAATGAGTGTTGTAAACCTGTATGAGGTATTAGAGTTATGGTTTACATTTGATGATTAGGACTAGAAATTAGATTTCGAGTTTTTCTTACGAGCTGATATCAGCTATAATGCCAAAACTCTATTTAGCCAAATAGATGAGTGAATTTCACGCTAAAATCCAAAACCTGTTATCTTATATCTGATTGGTTCGTCCATAAATTATAGTCTCTCCGATTTTTTAAAATGAATTAATTCATTATGTTATCATTCATAGTGATCCAATATTGTATCAGTTGAGATTTCGAAGATAAATGGATAAAAGGTACTCATATTGATAGAAAGAGTTTGATAAAGGTAAGAATGAAAGTTTGTTAATGCATTAAATTGGATTTAATAATTGAGATCACGAGCGGATTGAAGCTAGACCACCATGGAAAATGTGGAAGCAATGGATAGCCGTTTCATTCCACTGTTTCTCACTAGAGCTACAGGAAATACCTCTTGAAGTCGGTCACTAGTGAGCGTATGCTGTCTGTTGTGAGGTAGTAACTCACTGAAGACAATGGCGAACAGCGGGTCAATTTCGTAGATTGGTTAAGGTTAAACATTAACACTGTTGGATGCCGACTGGCTCAGTGGTCTATACGTTAAGCGTTCGCGCGCGAGTACGATAGATCCTGGGTTCGAATCCCGCGGGAGGCGGGATCGTGGATGCAAACTGCCGAGAAGTCCCACAATAGCACAAACCGGCCGTCCAGTGCTTCCAGGTTTTCCATGATGGTCAATCGACTCGTCATATAAACTATTGAAGTTACTATAATATGCACAAAAACCCATTTCCGATATTAAATTTAAGTTTATTTTTTCATACTTGCAAATTCAAAGTTATGTTTAATACTGAAATTAGATGAAAATGGTTCTCAATATTATACAAGAATAGTCAGTTGTTTTGCTTTACTTTTTTTGAGACTACTTAGTAATACCTACTCATGACTTTAATTTATGATTAGACTGAAGACTTATGGATTATTTTGTCAGGATAATCCAATGTCTGACGCCTTTAATTTTAGCCAGTATACAAAACATTGTTAATATTATTATATCCCTTCTCATTTCCAATATGAATGAATTCCATTAATCGTGATTTCTCTTAAGTACTTTAAGAATCTATCTCAAAGTTAGTTATTAGGATTAGGATAGGTGGCATACAGATAAGATCATAACCAATTAAGAATGATAAAGAAACTAAAATAAAAAATATTAGGGGAAAAGTGCCAAAGTATGACGAAAAGTCTTGAAGAAAATGACACTTTAAATACTATGATTCTTGAGTTAATATCAATGAAATTTCAGAATAACAGCATCTGACTGACTACAATGTTTTTCAATAAAAGTCCAGTGAACATGTACCCAAATAGCTTCAGAAACAAATACAATCAAGTGACCCGATAAGAGCAGAGGATAAACATCCATCATCCTCTATTGCTAAACATATAATTGAAACAGGTCATAAGATTGATCTAAATTCAGCTTTTGTAGTGCTGTATAAAAGTGTAAAAGGGCGTATACTAAGGTTTATTGAAGCCTTAGCCATACGAAAATTCAAACCCTCTTTATGTGTTCAAAAACAGTTTGTTCTTACCTTAAACCTACCCTGGTAATATTGACTTATTATCCAGAGTGATTAGGTTTCGCTTTGTGTTCACATTATTATTAATATTACTCTTATCATTATCCTTATCTCCTCTTACCCCGTTTCCTGTCTAGTTGACCTTTTATTTTTATATATAAATGCTCTTAACAAGTATATGTGTGACCAGATTGTTCGAAATGTATTGCGCTAATATATCACATAGTTCTGATAATCTTCGTCTTCTAATATCATTATCGAAAAGTCCAGTACTTAGTCATCGTTTTGGAAGTTGATGTGGATGACCATAAGCTTACTGATTAGTTGCACTACAAAATTCAACTAACATCTTTACTTAAAGTGTTATTAAATTTAAGTCAATTTATTCGGTATAAACTCGTCTACTCTTCATAATTCAAACCATCACGTGTTACGTATGCCTGAACACCGATTGCCAAGACACGCAATGCTGACTAGTGTTGGGAATGGTTGGAAGAAAATTAGGGGCGGTTAAACTAAAATGTGGCATCAGTGCTTGATGAAGACACTAAATTCTAGTTTGAGCCACGTTGGTAGATGTAGACTACTTGATTGGGGTCCATGTGACTTTCGTAACCAATGGTTGAAGACTCTGGGTGACATGGCCCAAAATCGATCACAATGGCGTCGGTGTATACACTCTTTGTCTTCCCTTAAACTATGACATTTAAATGATTTCATATCTTTCTTTCTACGAAATCGTTCTTCCTTTCTGTACTTTATCCTTACATAAAACCTTTTCTTCATATATTACACAATTGAGTTAACTGCTTCTATGAATCCGGTGTTCGTTTTGTTGTGCTAATGAGGTGTGGCAACTTGGACCGATGCATGTATGTGCCTAGTCCTACGTTGTAACTGACTGACTGATATACGTAATTAGTAGTTAGGATCCTATACGACATGTTTTACATTGTATCATGACTTGTTATACATCCTATTAAATTTCATACCATTGTATTACATTATATGGCATAGATTAATATGAGTTAATTTTGTACTATTGCGGTGCGTGTTACTTATATCGACATAAGTAGTATATAACGCTAATCAGGAATAGAATGTCTCACAACAGAAGGTCAAGAATATCGAGAAGGAAAGAACGGAAACAGAAAGCAGTTAGTATGGAATTGCAGGAACAATGAAGTATGAAACGACTGAATGACATTTTGTAAATGAAGTATTTACTGTATGGTCCTCAGATTTTACTAAAATGTTTTGTAATTTTGTGTTTAAATACATTTGATTAGTTGCTGTGGCATTATCCACTTAGCTACTGAGTCTTGATAGCCACATTCGATTAGTCGTCACTTGTGTTCTCGTTCACTATCCTATAACTTTTATCAGTTAGTCAGTCAGTCAGCTACAACGTAGGACCGGGCAGATATATGTATCGGTCTAAGTTGCCATACCTTATTAACAAAACAAGATGAACATCGGATTCATAAAAGTAGTTATTTCAGTCGTGGTAATATATAAAAGAAAGATTGCAATAAGGATATAGTACAGGAAGAAAGAATTAGTTCGTAGAAAGAAAGATATGAAGCGATTTTAATCTCTTAGTTTAAGGGAAGACAGAGTATATACACCGACGCCATTGTGATAGATTCTGAGCCATGTCACACACAGTCTCCAACCATCGGTTACGATAGTCACGCGGACCCCAACCAAGTAGTCTGCATCTACCAACATGGCTCAGACTGGAAGTTAGTAACTTCAAGCACTAATGCACTTTTAGAAGAAAACATTATCCATATTATATTTAGCTTGGTTAGTCATATACTTGTAATCTTTCAATAATATATATTTTCACTGTTTTATACTTTTCCTATGTGTAGATGAAGAATATAATGGAAGGGTCCAAGTATCATCTGTTCAATATTCCATACTTTAATAGTTGAAGCATTATATCATTATAAATGCTATGATATATATATTTTATATAAATATATATGATATTAGAAGAATCTGTGATGTTTTATGATCTTGTTTACGTTTGTTTTCTTATGTTAACTGCATTTTAAAAAAGAAACCGAAATAATTTGAAGAAGTTAAGGTTTCTTTGTTTAACATCCGGATATCTGTCTTCAATGAGATCGTATGAATGGTTCCTGTCGAAATATATATCTTTATTTGAACACAAATAATGGCACAAAGTGGCACCGAATAGATATGCGCCGCACAATTCACTTCATTTGTGTGTGGTCTGTGATATTATCCGGGTGCGCAGACTGAAGAAGGTGGTTTTCTTAGGGGTTCACATCCGGAGTCATCGATATAAAGGTCTGATCCACAAGGTAGTCGTATCGCTGTTGTTTGCTAAATTGAGAGGACGAAAAGCGAATATCCGACACTTTAGCTGGGTTGGTGGATACGGATGACCCACCTAGTGGAGTTGATAGTCAGTGACCAATAATTGGTTCATACGTCAGTATACTGGAGCCCATGTGCACCATTGGTCTGGAATGAGGGTTTTCCAACTCCCCTAGGTAGATCCTCTGTATCTACATACCCCGTTATAGCGCCTGACATTAGCTTTTCATCGTCTCAATTTCTTACAGAACAGTGATACCGCAAGAAGGCAGTGATTAGGACTTCCCTGTCAGTGACTGTATACGCATGACCATGTGAGAGCGTTTGGAGAAGAAGAGCTGACTCTCCCTACCTTTGGTCGTGCCAGGGCATTATAGATTTAATTCGCATTAGTGAATAACGGAATTAAAATAAGTCAAATACGAGAAAGGAAGAGAGCGAAGCGAAATGACGCACAATGGAGATGGCTTGTGAGTCAAATTGATTTAATCAAGCGTTAATAAATATTTATAGCCAGATAAAAAATAGGTTACTGATATGTGATGAATAGGATAAGAAGTGTACACACTCATACATACGCTCATGAATAGATTGGTCTGTCCGAAAGGTAGAATAAGTTATGTAGGCTTAATAATAATAATAATAACCAACACTACAAATCATTTCAAGGCAATTTTTGTTATCAAGGTTATAGATTTATAAACTAGAATGTCTGTTACTATGTCTACTGTAACCCTTACAATTTAAGCTTATATATACTCATTTCTGTATGGAATTAACAGTTATACTGATAAAATAGTTCTAAATTATGACTTCATGATTTCAATCAAAAACTTAACAATCTCCACAACCCCTAAACTGATAATTACCATGTGCTAACTAGTGATTAGCTTCGTGAGAAAATTCTCGGAGTTCTGGTGAGAAGCCATGATCAGTGAATTTGATCCGTGTCGGGTAGAAACAGGTGTCTACCTCAGTATAACGGAAGATGGTCGCGCAATTTCGTGCATTGGTTAAGGTTAGACATTAACACCATTGGATGCCAGCCGGCTCAGTGGTCCAGTAGGTTAAGCGTTCGCGCGCGAGACTGAAGACCCTGGGTTGGAATCCCGTGAGCGGGATCGTGGATGCATACTGCTGATGAGTCCCACAATAGGACGAAACGGCCGTTCAGTGCTTTCAGGTTTTCAATGGTGGTCTAACATCAATCGGTTCATGATCTCAATCAAAGACTTTATAATTATTTAATGTCATTTGATATCTAGAAGTTTTTTTGTAGATGATTTTGTTATTGATCTACTATCGATTTCCATTTTGTTTTTAGGCAATCTTATATGATACTGATATCAGTAATGCATGATTGAGATTGTTTATTGATTCATGTAATTCATTATGTTTCTTGAGATTAGATGGTGGTTGGAGGTAGTCAACAGGAAACCCTGGACACGGGTTTCGTGCTACTTGGCACTCGTCAGCAAGGTGTACCTGTAATCTTGAGGGAACTGGTGCTTCCTAGCGGATTCCATCTCGTATCACCCAGCTTCACAGTCAGAGACGTTACCACTGAGCTATCCGAGCCGTGACTAACCTCCTGTAGGACTGAGATGTAATCACAATTGATTGATCACTGGGTGGTGATCAATGTCATGCTTGTCTAGTCCTTATTAGTGCAGATCGAATGCCATCGATCATGTAGCAATGTGGCCACCAGTCTAGTTGACTCGACACTGCGGGCATGACATTGATCACCACCCAGTGATCAATTGATCCTCATTATATTTCTGTTATATCCTGATGAGAATAATGAAGGGTAATAGTTGGAATTTATTTCTAAACTAGTTCTATATGTATATTTTTGATTGTATAGTGGTTTAGTAGTTAAACTATTCATATTCATGTTCCTCATATTATAAGCTTTATTTTGATCAATGAACTATTATTATACGATTGGCCGTTCTTGAGTTATGCCTAGTCTATTCATTACTACCTCCCACATTCACAGCCACATTTGGCTAAATCTTGCACAACTGTTGCTTCCTATTTTATGGTACGATGTGGTCTGTCTGGTTGGTATATAAACCCAGTATGTTTGAAATGCCTGATTCATATCTCAGAGGCTGAGATTGGTGTTCTGGATGCAACAGGCTAGGCTAGGCGGAAAGCAGGACCAATAAGTACTCTAGACTGCTCGTACGGGTTTTAGGCGTCATTTGTCCAGTCGATAATTCACTGTTCTCTAATTGGCGGTATCATCACATTATACATTGATAGGGGCACAAACTCACAAGTTATAACAGTTTCATAATGACATTTTCCAGATTTATTGAAATTCATAATCATCAATAAACTGATATCATTTTAAAAGGTTCTTGTGAAGACCACGGAACAATGAATAGCTCTTTAAGCCTAGTTTAAGGGTGGCTAAATTTCATTCACAACCATTAAATATTTCAATCGGGATATTATCAATCAGTCCATGGTTTAGACTTCAGTCATTGATTATTTTTTACTTTGAAATGCTTTGTAATATATTGTATGATTCTTGTTTAATATTATAAATGCATTACTATAGAATTCTCTCCTTGAATAGTTCTATACATGTCATAGTAAACCAGTAATTGAGTACAAGTTAGTGTTATAAGTAATTTCATTCAAGTAGTTAAGATCATGAGTCGATTGAAGCTAGACCACCATGGAAAACCTGAAAGTACTGGATGGTCGTTTCGTCCTAATGTGAGACTCCTCAGCAGTGCGCATACACGATCCCGCCTCGTGAGATTTGAACCTGTTGTAACGCTATGGCCCACTAGTTATCACGTAATCTATTCGCCAATCAAAATACGACTTATTCACTCTTGTACTGTACTAAACCAATGACGTCCAATCGGTTTGATCAGCCTATCGTCTTATTGGTGCGTTGATCGTCTAACCCATCTAGCTGAGTCCAGAATGTCAATAACAGCCTCCACTATGCGAATCATTTATTTTAGACATACTGGGTTTATATATCAAGCAAACAGACCGCAACGCACCATAAAATAGGAAGTAACATTCATACACAAATAAGCCAAAAAGTGTCTGTGAACGTGGGAGATAGTAATTAATAAACTGAGTATAACTTATGAACAGTAAATCGTACAATAATAATCTATAGGTCAAAATGAAGCTTATAATAAGGGAAATATAGGTATATACAATCTAATTACAGAATAGTTATACCATAAGAATATACAGATAATATTAGTCCATCAATAGGTCTCAGAAGTTACTCGTAATTTAATCTTTGCTAGGATATAATAGAACTCAAGACTTTCGGTCTCACGTGAGAACACTTAACTTATAGGCCAATGAGCTGGCTGGCATCCAACGATAATATTGTCTAACTTCAACTAATCCACGAAATTGAACGACACATCTATCATTGTCATCAATGAGTCACTATCTTTCACCAGATAGAATATACTCACTAGTAACTGATTTCAAGAGATGATTTTTTAGAGTTCTAGTCTACAGTGAATTGTTATCTTACAACAGATCCAATTGAATTCCAATACTTCCATGTTTTCCATCATAATCTAGCTTCAATGAATTCATAATTTCAACTAATAAAATGAATACAATCTTCATAAAGAAAAACCTCATTCTGGTACTAATTTCATTGAATTAGAATAAACAAACTCACAACGGAATCATACATATGAAGTATTGAAATTACATTAATCAAATAACAATTGAATACAATGAAATAAGTAGTATGTTTATCACATACATAAAATATCACCATTTAATATACATTAGGAACTGGTTATTACTATTATTATTACTATTATTAATGTGTATTGATACTGAACATGATTATTTAGATGAATCTCATTATTGTTATGGGAAAAAAACAATGATCATCTCTGTAATAAAATCAATTGATTAGAGATCAATCAATATTGATTATCAATAAATCATGGAATGTTTCAAAGAATGTTTTGTTCTTAGTATTTTCATTTCATCATTACATAATCATCCTTAGTGAATGATCATTTCATTATCTTTGATGAATTCAATTAGTGATAAACATTGTTATATTAGAAAGGAATCTAGTTGGATTAGTTAGATCCAGTTCGATTTGATATGTATAAATAAATATTAATTAAGAAAGTAGATATCAAAGCTTTTCAAAATAAAATGTTGATTATCATAGCAGACTACTGAATAAGAATATAAGTAGTCTAAAAAAAATAAAGCAAATATTTAGCATTAGGTTATACATACTTATGTTATATTTGTTCTGTATTCAATTTTTTGAATTTTGGTTTTTGTAAATTGAAATGTGAATTGAGTTTAGCTGTAATAAATTTAAAGAATAAGCTGTATGAATTCAGAGAATGTATTTTTATAACGTGTGTGTATATATTACAAATAATCAAATTTCAAAGGGTGTGTAGTCAACTCAGTATAATCTTATCAAATGCTTTTTATTCTATTAGAGAATGTATAATGTCACTTGTTTTGTAACGTTGTCATTACCATTGATCACATTCCTACTTACCGATGTAAAAGTTTTATTTTGTTTTAGTTCTATAGTAACAATATACTTGTTCGTTTACTTAAACTTTAATAATACTTACTTACAACTTTAACCCCCCGTAGAGGAGCATAGACCATCCACCGGCACTCTCAATCCCAATCTGTGCTGGGCGATCTTTTCCAGCTATTTCCAGTTGTTGTTGATCTTTTTCGTATCTGCTTTGAATTCCCGACGTAATGTGTTCTTCGGCATTCCTCTTTTCCACTTCCCTTCAGGATTCCAATTTAGCGCTTCTCTCGTGATACAGTTTGACGATTTCCTTAATGTATATCCTATTCACTTCCAACGTCTTTTCCTAATTTCCTCTTCAGTTGGAAGCTGATTTGTCTTTTCCCACAGTAGGGTGTTGTTGATGGTATTCGGCCAACGGATATTGAGTATCTTGCGTAGACATCTATTTATGAATATTAGTACCTTTTTGATGATGGTTGTAGTAGTTCTCGAAGTTTCAGCTCCGTACGGTAGAACTAACTGTCTTGACGTTTGTATTGAAGGTTGTGATTTTAATATTGGTTGACAATTAGTTTGAGTCCCATATATTATTCATTTGTAAGGATGATGCCGTTAATTTGCTAATCTTCATCAGATCCTCTTTGTTCATTGATGATGCTGCCAAGGCACGTGATCCAGTGTAATCAGGGAAAGATAAATATAATGCCACTAATAGTTGATTGGTAACTTTCCTCGTTCAACCCAGCATAAACTAATTATTATTCAGTCATCTTCAATAATGTAGTTTGTATGAAATGTATTATGTCAAATGCATTTTTCAAAGATAGTTATGTCTATCCACTGGATCTTCTACAATGATTATCCCTAAGCCTAATTAATCAGAGAAATGAGAAAGATAACAGTTTATGTAATAATACCATTTCCAGTGTATTTCATCCTACTTCAGGCTAGTCAGATGGATATATCTGCTAAGGTTGATGGAACAGTGCATGATGCTATTGTTGTGTGCTAGGTTTAAAGAGAATTACATGCTATATGCATGGAAATCCGCCCCGTTATTGTTCCTTCCTAACATTAGTCTAACATTACTAAATATTCTATCTTTGAATATAGGTGAGAAATCGCCTTAATGATGACGTCTCAGATTATGAATTTGTGTAACGCGGAATCAATTGTTCTGGGGATATCAGTTCTTTTAGCATTACAGTTGTAATTTGCCAACAGGTGCTGAAGATCAAGAAACCTAGGTTCGAATTTCCTTGTACACTAGTATCCTTGGTGGGTACAGAGGATCCACCTAGGGGAGTTGGAAAACCCTGATTACAAACCAGTGGTTCATACGGGCCCCAAGATCCTAAGGAAACAAATGGTGTATGAACCAATTGTTGGTCACCAGCTACCATGGGACTGCATCTTCTGTCGTTGCTCCACTGCCTTGTCGGTCAAACCTTTAAGTCGAAGGCTCCGAGTGTGGCTCCCCAAGAAAACCACCTGTTTAAGCACCCGGGTGGTATCCCAACCGTTACATAAATCGAATGATTTATGTGGCGCATATCTATTTGATGCCTCCTTGTACCAATGTTTATGTGTTTAAATAAATAAAAAATAAATATCTGTACTCTAGCTCCAACTAGCTTACATCTCAATAACGTGCACACGGTGTCATGTCGCTGAACATGGTAGTCACACTGAAGCTTGGTCGACAAAATTCACTCAGCACTAAACGACTTAAACTAACATGGTCAGTGATCAATCAATTAAACGAGAGAAAAGGGTGGGACTATAATTTATGGACAACCTTAAGTGATTTTGGGAAATTTCAGCTAATCAGAAATGTAGTCGGTATAAAGTAAGAATATATTATACAAACAAAAATTTTTAGACTGGACACCCTTCTTTAACATGGTCATAAAACTTTTCAAGGTTAGAAAGAGACTCTGAAGTTCTGAAATCGTAATGCATACGGTACAGGAACTCATCTATATGACTCTATCATCGACCTCTGGAGCTATGATACTGTCGTGAAAATTCTCTTAGCCTCGACCACATTGCTTCTATATAATTGATGTGTATTCCCATGCTGGGATCTACAAAATGTCGCCCGTGAACAACGATATTGTGCTCGTAACTAAGTCTAGATAGGCATTAATATGCTCTCCAGTCATCGGTTTATATTGTGGTACTCGGTTACACATACTTTCGTATAATTGGTATTATCGTTGTGGGCTGTCAGTTTCTCACGCGCTAGAAGTGTTCCCTTTGAGATGATATATCATATATACCAAAGACCTGTTAAGTACACCTAAGTAAGTGCTACTCGTGCCGTCGTCTTTAACACTTTCTTTAGTGAATTCGTGTTTTTCAATGATTATTTCGTCAATTTCTACGGTTCTGCCGATTCCTACAAGTTAATGAACCAAGCTTTTCATTTTTATTGCACATATAAATCGACAGTACACATACTCATAGGAGATTTGTGGGAACTGTAGAAGTTTAACAGTTTAAATCACAAAGTGATTTTAGCTGGACCATTATTGGAAACATGGAAGGGCTGGAAGGTCGTTTCATCATAGTATGGGACTCATTAGCAGTGCGTTCACGAACCCAGAGCTGGGAATCTAACCCAAGATCTTCAATCTCGCTGGCGAATGCCTAACGTTTGGACCACTGGATGACACAGTGGTGTAAATGTCCAGCTACAATCAATCCACGATATTGTATAACACTAAATAATCCACAAACCAATAAACTCCCTAATCAGCTCATATGAGACAGGTTTACTGATTATTCAATCCATTCCGAACGGAAATTTAGTATCACATCAATCTAGCACTTGAGTAAATAACTTAGTAACTAACAATTGTGAACAAATAACTGGACATTATGAAGATATATGTAATTTGACAAATATCAAGATAATTTACATACCTAGATTTAAGCAGAGTAAAAGACTTAGCATTGATATTTTAGTGTTATGGAAGTGATTGAGTTTGAAATTTCACCGGCTAACATGGACAGCTGATTTTCAGAGCTCTGAGAGAATCTGACTCAGTAATTTAAAGAATAAATGTTACCCATATGGCTTAAAACTCAACGGTTCTGTCTCTCATGAGGTTGTGGATGAGCAGTGTTGAAGGATATATGGCAGGACCAAAGAGTTAGCCAGTCGTACCTAGTTTTTATTGGTTGACCGTGATATGAAACTTCAACTGTTACTAATCATACCTCATAATTTATCCCTAACTTAATAATTGAATTCGTGAGTCGATTGAAGTTAGACCAACATGGGAAACCTTGGATTACTGGACGGCCATTTCATCCTAGTATGGGACTACTCGGCAGTGCGCATCCACCATCCCGCCCTCGGGACTCAAACCCAGGACCTGTTAGTCTCGCGCTTGAACCTCTAACCTTTAGACCATTGAGCCGGCCGGCATCCTACGGTGTTGATATCTAACTTCAACCAATCCCTTACTATTATGTTTTTATTTATACCATGCGAACGTTTGAGTTTGTTCGACACCATAATTTTATAACTACAATGTAAAATCTGAAATTTTGCTCTTAGATAACCATTATACTTTCAATACAAACACACAGAAATTGAATAGATTGAATGATTAAATAGAATCATCAAATATCAAAACAACTACTTTCTTATCATCTGTAATGAAGCATCATCAACTGAATCATAATTGAATTCAGCGTTTTATTATGAACTGAGACCAGCTGAATAAGAAGAACAAACAACTGAAGCTCTAGTAAGAAGCCATGACCTATTAAACCAGTTAACTAATGAATGAGATAAACAATTGCCTATATCATTAAATAATGATCACACTTGGTTACTAAATAACTGAAAATACGAAATGATGAAATGAATGGAGTTAATTCGTGTCGGATAGAGAAAAGGTATCTACCTCAGTACAATGAAAGATGGTCGAACAATTTTATGAATTGATTAAACTTAGACATTGACACTGTTGGATGTCAGCCAAGCTCAATAGTCAACAGGTTAAGCGTTCGCACACATGAGACTGAAGTCCCTAGGTTCGAACCCCACGTGGCGGACGAAAAGGTTAGATCTAAGTTGTTAATGTGCATTGTTAAGGTGAATTATTAGTTTTGCAGAAAAACAAACAAACAAACAAAAAACAAAACAAAAGTTACGTAACTCATTTAACACCATAGATCTTATATTAAGTAAACTAACGCCAATGAAATAACCTGATCAATATAGTGAAACTTAAAATAAACAAGTAGCAACTAATTGTTAGCTCAAATCTTTCAAAACACAATGTAGCCTGTTAGTAAGAATGATGATGTCACAATAAAAAGACTTCAATATAAAAAGTATTAGAGGTGTGTTGATAGACAAGGCTGAAAATTTCAATTTGGAAAGAGGATAAACATTTGAAGGCACTGGACGGTCAATACATCATAGAATGAGACTCCTCGCTAGTGTGCATCCATGATCCTGTACTTGACAGTCAATGTTAGAAACTTCGGTGACAATCACGAACATTTATCCTTTAGACGACTGAGCCGGTATCCAACGGTGTTAATGTTTAAATACGGCTCAGTGGTCTAGAGGTTAAGTATTCACAAGAGTGACCGGAGGTCCTGGATTCGAGTCCCATATACAAGATCGTGGATGAGGACTGCTAAAAAGTCCAATACGAGGACGAAACGGCCGTCCAGTACTTTCAGGTTTTCTATGGTGATCTATCTTACATCGACTCATGAATTTAAATATGAAAATTGCTAAAATCTCCACAAATCTTCATTCTGAATATAAAAATCGTTGTGTGTGTATCAAACTTTTGTTGATATCGAATCAATCATCTAATATTATTCGATAAAACCTGTTAGAGTTGTCATAATTTATAAGTTTTTACAATAATCATTCATCTAGGCAATGGAACAATAGTATACACTTACAAATTATGCTTATATCTTACTTACTAACTTACTTACGCCTGTTATTCCTCATGGAGGAGCATAGGCCGCCGACATATCTTACTTACGTTAGAAGTATATTAATATTTTCTAGTAATTAATATATATATATTAGTTGTTTGAATGTTCTCATGGACGTTTACAACTGTAATCGATCAGTCGCTTTCGGCACATGTGCATCCTATAAGGATTGCTTCAATATTGTAAATAAGTCAGAAAGATGTTTAAGTAGAGATGGATAATGACTAGTAATGAAATCTAGGATGGTTGTTTCGTCTTATTTGGAAGAGTTTCGAGTGAGAGATAATTAATTCTAATTCCGAAGTGAATATCAATTCCGGGACACGAGTACATCCAGATGATGTATCTGATATAGAAGGCAACAAGTGTTCTGGATCCTATTGCTATCTATATCATTTAAACCAACTATCATATACATCACAATTTGGATTATTCAACTCATAATTGATACTTGATCAGATTTGATTCAAAATGATTGGTATCAAAAGTGATTTTGTGAATATCACAGTGATTATATTACTTGAAATGATGAGTCAGTTAAAGGTAAACCACCATAGAAAACCTGTAAACATTGAACATGGATACTCACTACTGAAGAGTCCCATAATAGGACGAAACAATTGTCATGATCTCAACTATTAATAAAAAATTCTTAAACAATGAATATGAATCATTGTTAGATTGATAGTGTTGTCATTAATTTTCATGATTGAATTGTTCAATGATTTAAAATAGAGATTTTGTTCATTCAGTAAGGGACTTTGTCTGACACGGTTCAGAATCAATTACAATGGTGTAAATTTATATACTCTTTGTCTTCCTTTCTACGCGCTAATTCTTTCTTTAAACATTAGTACCATTGAAATGACTAGTTCTATGAATTTGATATTCATCTTGTTGTACTAATAAGGTATGACAATATGGATCAATGTATCTAGTTGCCTGATCTTACATTGTAACTAAGTGACTGATTGATTAAGACAATACATTGTAAACAATTTGGTTAGAACAATGAGTTAAATTGATTAAATAAAATGACAGATAATTATCCAAATTGATTAAGATCATGAGTCCGTTGAAGCTAGATCGCCATGGAAAACCTGGAAGCACTGAACGGCCGTTTCGTCCTATTGTGGGACTCCTCAGCAGTGCAGATCCACGACTTTGCCTCCTGCAAAGATTAGAACCCAGGACTTAACAGTTTCGCGCGCGAGCACTTATCCAACTTCAACTAATCCACGAAATTGAGTGACACACCCACCATTGTCATTAGTGAGTTACTATCTTACAACAGATGCGGTTGAACTCCATTGTCACTACTTCTCACTAGAACTCCAGGATATACTTCTTGAAGTCAGTCACTAGTGAGCATATGCTGAAGAGTCCCACAACAGAACGGAACGGCCATCCAGTGCATTCAGGTTTTCCCTGATGGTCTAGCTTCAACTGACTCATGATCTTAACCATTGAAATTACTAATAATATCCAAAAAAAAACCCATCTGAAAATAGTTATTCATTTAGTTAGTTAATCAATAAAGTTAGTTAATAGTTGAATTGAAGAATTCATTCAAACTGAATATAACCAATAGAAAATTTGGAAGTATTGAATAGTTGTTATGAACTCAATGTTAAGTAGAATAAAGAAAGAAAGTTCTTTTAGATGAATGATTTACTTTAGAAAGAAAATAGTATTAATTAACTTCTAAGCCATGTCCATTTTTTAACACTTGGATGGAGATGACTTGGTTTCATTGGTATGTCATAATATCTTTCTGAAAATAATATTAAATAGAGTAATGATATGTATATGTATATATATATATATATATGTATTATTATGTAATATCTACCTATTATGTAGGATGTAAATAGTATTCTACTGTATGTGTTGGAGACGTTAGATCCTCAGAGCTCACTTGGGAAAGGATCTAATTTTGTAATTTTATTTAGAAAATTTGAATTTCTTTGTTTTCGCGCCAAAGGCGCTTTTGTCACCTTCATGTCCCACTGGGAAATATCTTAAATCCTATTGGTCTGTTGTGTCTTTTAGTATGCTATTGGGTAACTTTTCCCAAGGGCGGTTTTTTACTATATATATATATATACGTTTTGAAATGTGTTTGTTGTTATTGCTCGTTTCTGGCTGTTTCCAGAATATACTTCCTTCTAGTTAGCGGGGCTGTGACTCATCAATAGCTAGCTTATTGGTCTTTGGTCATTGAGTCATGTTTCTCGTTCTCAGATTAAGTGAACTCGTGATAGCTTCAACCCTAGCAGTATGAATCAATTTAATTCAAGCCTTTCTTATAACAATACAGTTTAATATCAAATGGGAGTCTTGTGGAGATTTTAGTAATTTGAATAGTTGAATTCATGAGTTAATTAAATCTAGATCACCATGAAAAACTTGAAAGTACTAGATAGCCGTTTTGTTCTAGTATAGGACTGCTGAGAGATATATATTTACAATTCCGCACATGCGATTTCTATCAAGGACCTTCGATGGCGAGACTGTAATTTATGGACGAGCCAATCAGAAGCGTTTGAGTAATTTCAAGGTCACGGAGCCAAGTTCAACACCTGATGCTCACATACGATCGGTTTACAGCGGATTTTAGAGAAGAGGTGATTATTGAGAGGCTACAAGAGATGAGATTATTAAGAAGTTCTTGTACGTGTGACTGTGGTTATCAAGTGACTGCAGTAAAGTATGCAGACTACCGTGATGAGATTGTATTCCGTTGTTCTTCATGTTAGAGGACATATGTGCAATTAAAATGACACGTCTACACCAATCATTCGGAGGAGTAGGAAGTATTGTGGAGATAGATTAAAAAGTAGTGAGAAAGCGAAAGTACAACAGGAGACGTAGTATCAAGGAAGATTTGGTAAGTAGCACTTCCGTAAATATACTTGACAGGTACTTGGAATTTATGATCGATCAAAACAGAAGGGGCATTTTCAGAGGGTCAGGAACCGGCAAGCAAGCACAGTAATACCAATTATACAGGAATACGTGCAGCCGGGCATTACAGTATATACGGATGATTAGAGAGCTTATAGATGCCTACATAGACTTCGGTATGTGCATCGTGTCGTAGTGCACAAGCTCCATTTCGTCGACCCTACAACCGGCGTTTATACTAATGATATTGAAGCCATGTGGTCCAGACTGAAGGAATTTTTAAGACCGTACCACGGCTCTAGAGGACGACGATTACGGAGCCATATGGACGAGTTCCTATATCGTATTCATTATGATTTCAGGACATCTGAACCTTTATCAAACCTTAACAAGTTTTTAAATCACGTCAAAGAAGAATATCCACTGTAATTGATTAGTTCCTTATAATATATTTTTACTTTATACTGACTGTCTTCTGATTGGCTAATAATTGTCGAGGTTCGTTCAAGGTTCGTCCATAAATTAGAGTCTCGCCCTTCAATCCATTGATGAAATTGCATCACCATCTACTATTGTCTTTAGTAAGTTACTATCTCATAGTGCTTTCAGGTTTTTCATAGTGATCTTGCTTTAAATTGATTCATGAATTGAACTATGAAAAAAATACAACTTAAGTCTACTTAGATGAACAAGTTGACGATGATATAACAAAATATTTTGGATCCTTTCTTAATAAGTAATATTTTCTCAGTATGGAAATAAATATGTTGGATATAAAAGACGTGAATATATACTTAGTCAGATGTCTGAATAACTCTCTATGTGTACAGTGTTGAATACCATATCAAAGGTACTTTTACATTGGAAAACAGTTCGAACCTATTGGAAAGTATACTTTGATTCCGTCTTATAAATTAAAACAAATTAAGAAAGATAATATTTGAAGAATACAATAGATTCTTTGTTCTCTTGTATATATGTAAGTGAAGTTAGTCAGTAAGCTACAATGTAGGACAAGGCATATATACACATAGGTCTATGTTGCCATATCTCATTAGCGCAATAGGATGAACATCGAAATCATAGTAGTTAATTCAACCATTGGTTACGATTGTCACGCGGACCCCAACCAAGTAGTCTGCATCTACCAACATGGCTCAGACTAGAAGTTAGTGAATTCAGGCACTGATGCCACATTTTGGTTTGACCGCGCCTAACTTTCTACCAACCATCCTCAACACTGGTTAGCATTGCACGTCGTGGTGATCGGTGTTCAGGCACACAAAAACGTGACCCAACCATCTCAGTCAATAAAGATTCACAACCTCATCAACTGATTTACTATCATTTCCTAGTACCCTGCGTCTAATCTCACTATTACTTACTCGGTGATCGCAGCATATACGAGCAATATTTCCAAGACATCTGTGGTCAAATACTAGTGGGTTACGAGTATCTTCTACTCTTAACCGCCACATTTCGCAGCCGTGAAGTAGAACAAAAAAACTGCCAAGCAGTACACTCGCCCTTCAAACGATAGACGGATATCTGGCCTTTGCCAAGGTCATGTAACTTGGTGAAAGTCAGACGAGCTTTTTGAGTCCGTACAGAGGTTTCGTCAGACATCAACCCATTTGGGGTGATCAGACTTACAAGATAAGTGAATATATCGAGGGGTTCGACTACTTTATTCCCTATTCTTAGTTCAGGTGTTGACTCAGGCCAGTCCTTTAGTAACAATGTGCATTTAGAGGGAGAGAAGCGCATCTCAAACATTTTGGCATTGTTGCTCAGTGCTACCAAAAGACTGGATTTTATCAGCGTCTTCACCAAACAGGACTATTTCATCTGCATATTCGAGGTCAATATGTAGACCTCCTGGTGGGAGATCAATTCCTGAAAATCCAGACGACGAAAACGTTATTTTCAGAAGTAGGTCTTTGATGAAGTTGAACAAAAATGGATATAATGGAGAGCCTTGATGAACACCGCTTGCAAAATCAGATGATAATTCTCCATAATCTCTCACTCGATTAGTAGTGTTCGAGTAAAGAGCCTTAACAAGGTTTATGTTCTTCTGAGGTACACCTTTCAATGACAGACACTGTCACAGGACCTCTCGGTCTACAGAGTCAAATGCTGCTTTTAAGTCAAGAAGGACCACTATTGTCGGACGCCGATAAGCATGTCTGTGTTCTATAATCTGACGAATAGTGAATATGTGGTCGATGCAGCCACGATCAGGTCTGAAACCAGCCTGATTTTCTCATGTTTTCAGTTCACGAGTCTTTGTTAGGCGCCCAATAATTATTGAGGCTAGTATTTTAGATGCTATATTGGTCAAACTAATACCTCTATGGTTATCACAAAATGATTTTGACCCATTCTTATTATATTGGGACAATTAGGTATTGCTACCATTACGTCAAACTCCCAAATTTTAGCTAAAATATAAGTTAACCTAATCTCTAAAACTAGACCATCATCCTTAAAGACTTTTGGGGTCAATCCATCTGAATCAGATGTTCTTCATCGTTTCAGATTAGCTATAGATTTTTGAACTTCCATTATAGTCGGGAGACCTACTTCAGTGTTCCATTCATGCTGTTTGAGAATTGTAGGTAGTATGTAAATGAAAAGAAAGTAATGAAAATCGACTGAATTATTAATCACATTCAATCAATGTTATCTTTTGATGTTGTTGCTTGATTTGACTGTTAAATAGAGAATATATTGATTTCTATGTTGAAATCATCATACCACTGGGTTATCCTATTCTATACATAGTTTTGTTGTTGTAATAATAAGGGAGCAGTTTAATCAGAAAAATCTGATTTACAACTTTCTTTTAATAATGACAACAAGTGTAACTGATGCCTTCTAATAATAATAATATTATTATTATTATCAGAAGCGGTTTTATGGAGATTGTAGTAATTTTAATGGTTAAGATCATGAGTCAGTTGAAGCTAGATCACCAATGAAAACCCGGAAGCACTGGACGACCGTTTCGTCCTATTGTAGGACGCCTCACCAGTGCGCATCCACGATCCCTCCTCGCGGGGCTGGAATCCAGGACTTATCAGTCTCGCGCGCGAGCGCTTAACCACTAGACCATCGAGCTGACCGGCATCCAACGGTGCGAATCTCTAACTTCAACTAATTCACGAAATTGAGTGACACATCCACCACTGTCATCAGTGAGTTACTATCTCACAACAGACCTGGTTGAACTTCACTGATCACTGCTTCTTATTATTATGTTTTTTAACATCACCAATGCCTACTTCAAGCTGAAAACAGTAACATCAAAATCACTTACTATGATATATGGACGAAGGAAATAATGATTAGTTGTTCACTTAGTCAGACTAATAGTGTCAGTATTTGAAGTGGTAATATACTGACATTCTAGTCAGGCTCGTCACATGTTCTTAATATGAGTTATATTGATGTTCTATAGAATAGACACTGGAAGTGTATTCAGTGCAGATATTCGTCTCAGATAAATTAACGTTCTATTCGTGTAAACAAAGAAAATCGTCCGTTATAACACACTTTTAATCTTGCTTAGAAATAATCAGATTGTTTAGAATGTATTCCATCGAAAACTGGATTTATTGTCAAATTTAATGTGGCATATAATATTCTCATTTTATTTCCATTATTCTAATGAATAAATAATTACAAGTTGATAGTCCTAATGTTTTTTGGTTGGAGGTAGTCAACATGAAGTCTTGGATCTAGGTTTCTTGCTATTTGGCACTCATCGGCAAAGTGTACCTGTAATCTTGAGGGAACTGATGCTCCCTGACGGATTCGATCCCGTATCACCCAGATTCACAGTCAGAGACGTTACCACTGGGATATCAAGGCCACGACTGATCTTCTGTCAGACTGAGATGTATTCACAATGGATTAATCACTGAGTGATAATCAATGTTATATGTGTTCAGTTCTTCTTAGTGCAGATCGAATCCTATCGACCAAGTTTGAAAATGTTCAATAAATGAGTTTCTGTTCACCTTATTTTATGCATTGAATAAATAAATTTAAATGATAAATATATATATGTTTATATATCGGTTGATACTCACCGTAATCTACGTTTGTAACCATAATTGCTAAAGTGATTTAAGAGAGATTGTGGAGTTTGAAAAGAATAGACAAATGGTGACCAATATAAAGTGTAATAAAAAAATAACCAATTATTGTTTTCAATGGAATCAAGAATCGATCTAAGTTTGACAAACTTTAAAAATCTGGAAGTACTTAGGAACCATTTCATTGTAGTATAAGACACCTCAGCGGTATTGATTTATTGACCTCATAACTGGGAATGGAACCTATGCCCCCTTGGTCTCACTTGTCAATAATTAACTTCTAGACCACAGTGGCGGTACAAAAATATTGTGAATGTCTAGGTTCAGTCTATGAAAATATGTTTGTTGAGGCATTTTAGAGTTTATGTCTATGATGTCATTAGTTTTTTATTGAAAGGCAAATGGTATGTTTAGAGTTGCCTTGTAGTAAAACCTAGAAGGTAAGTGTATTTAAGTCCCTAAACTTACAGGTAAGATATTAGCCATTCATTCACTACATTCTTATCTTGAAATATCAGAGCGTTATCTACTAGGTAAGTTCTCTTGTTTGGAAAATACTAATAACCAGTGATGCTTGTCTTTATCAATTGTTTAGTGTATCACACTTGATTATTAAGAAGGTAACCCATATTTGAAACTCGACCACTCTTCACTAATAAACAACATTCGTATGTAGTAAAAGACATTTATCAACAGAGGATGACGGCAAATAAGAATATTTACAGATTCCAACACGACTCTGACAACTAATACATCTAGATAAATCATAACATGCAAGATCAAAAGTTATAGGTTGATTTCTCACATGCAAAGCAGTGGATGCACACGAAGATGAAACGATCGTCCAGTGCTTCTTAATTTTCAGTGGTGATCAAGATAAAGTCAGTGCGTGATTTGAAGTCTGAAATTCTTTCAACGTCTGCGAATCTCTCTATTACTAACTTACACATGTATTCCTGTTACTCCTCGTGGAGTAGCACAGGACACACACCAGAACTCTCCATCCAATACTGTCCTGGGAAATCCTTTCCAGCTCCTTCCAGTTCTTATTCATCTTATTCATATCTGCTTCAATTTCCCCACGTAATGTGTTTTTTGACCTTTCTATTTTTTTTGCATCCCATCATGATTCCAAGTTATCACTTGACTCGTGATGCAGTTTGGTGATTTCCTCAATGTATATCTTATCCACTTCTAACGTCTTCTCCTAACTTCCTCTTCAGTTGGGAGCTGATTTGTCTTCTCCCACAGTAGGATGTTGTTGATAGTATCCGGTCAGTGGATATTGAGTACCTTGTGTAGACAGTTATTTATGAATATTCGTACCATTTTGATGATGGTTGTAATAGTTCTCTTAGTTTCAGCTCTGTACAGTAGAACTGTCTTGACGTTTGTACTGAAGATTGTGACTTTGATATTGGTTGGCAATTATTTTGAGTTCCATATGTTCTTCAATTGTAGGAATGCGGATCTTGCTTTGTCAGTCCTCGCTTTTAGGTCTGCAAATTTCTCTATACTAAATATTTTAAATTTGGCTGGCCAAATTGATATTTAAAATTATAACCTGGTAACTAGATGTCTGTTATGTTCATAATTGATTTACGGATATTTATACTTAGTAACAAAATTTAAATGAAATCATATTTCATTGTTAGATTTATTTGACATTTCTCTGTTTGAATAGTTGAAATCATGAGTTAATTGAAGCTAGACTACCATGAAAAGCCTGGAACCACTGGACGGCCTTTTTCGTCCTAGTACTGAACTCCTCAGCGGTGCGCATCCACGATCCCGCCCGGAGAGATTCAAACACAGGACCTATCAGTTTCGCGCACGAACGCTTAACCTGGCATCCAACGGTGTTAATGTCTAACTTCAACCAATCCACGAAATTTAGCGACACATCCACCATTGTCTTCAGTGAGTTACTATCGAATTTTTATATATAGTAACAAATATATAAGAAATTCAGTAATTAATGCAAAGGTGCTCAATAATGACCAATTTGTATAGGTAATTCAAAGAGCTCTAGTGAAGAACTGTCGTCAGCAGGGCTTAGCCTTGTTATATATTAGATAAATGGCAATTAATAATGATCAAGGACTATCACAAATTTACCAGAGTTAGGAATATAAACTAATAGTTAACAACTCAGTAGTTTAAAGGTTAGACTATCAACGTGAAGCCTGAAGGTCTTGGCTTTGAATCCTAGTTATAATGTAGACGTACCATACTAATAGATCTTATGATAAAAAAATAGTTGTGCGATGCTTTCCACTTATAAGTAGTTTCCTAATTAGAATCAATATCAAATTTGGGTTTTGTACTGAACATTTACACAGACTGTCTAACCGATTAACCGGAACCCATCGACTTATACTTACTTACGCCTTTTATTCATTTTTCTCATGTCTGTCTTCATTTCTCGACGTAATGTGTTCTTTAGTCTTCCTCTTTTCCTTAGGCTTTAAGGATTCCATGTTAGGGATTGCCTTGTGACGCAGTTGGGTGCTTTCCTCAATGTGTATCCTATCCACTTACAACTCTCCTTCCTGATTTATTCCTCCACTGGAATCTGGTTTGTTCCCTCCCATAGTTGGTTGTTGCTGATAGTGTCTGGCCAACGAATCCGAAGTATTTTGCGTAGACAGCTATTAATAAACACTTGTATCTTCTGAATGATGACTTTAGTTTCCGCTCCATATAGTAGAACTGTCTTGATATCTGCATCAGATTCACCGTGTCCATCAATGATGCTGCCCTACTCGTATGATAATTTTAACTTGACTGATAACACATTTTTTTGGTACTTAAGGCATAATAAACATAAAACCCACCAATTCCGATTAATAACACACTGGTTCATTTTACAAGAATGTTTATTATTGCACGATAAGGAGATATGATGGTGGCTAGCAGTAGAATGCAGTATGCTCGTTCCATCCTGTTTTGAAATTCATCAAACGGATGTACTTACATCTTAGAATTGATGTTCATTCTGAGACTCGAATCCATTACCGTCTACTTTAGACATCATCGCAAAATCCACTTAGTTACTAAGTCCAGATTCATTATTTGAATTATCCCGTTGATACTACTGAATTTAATATTTCATCTTATGTAATAGAAAGATGATGGAATTATAATTGTACAGTTTGAATAAGCGCTAATTTAAATTTTTATTGAATTTATATTTTTAAGCATATACTACTTAAATTGTAAAATGAATGATAAGTAGTATGAAAAGAATTTTTAAGAAAGAGAGAAAAAAAACAACAAAAAAAATTTATAACTTACCAGGTGGTGGTGGTTTCTTTTTCTCACAGCAACATAAATTTCTTGCACGTTCACAAAATGATGGATGCATTTCCAAGTTAGATACACTGAAATGAAATTTGTTTTTTTTTTAAAAACTTTATTCATCACTAACGGCATAGATGAGTTGCTTTTTTTTCAAAGTATGAATCAATCGAAACTAAACCATCCTGGAATATCTAGAAGTACTGGACAGTTGTTTCGTTCTAGCATGGAATTCCTCAACAGTGTGTAACCATGATCCCACCTCGCGAGATTTGAACCTAAGACTTTCGGTCTCGCGTGAGAACACTTAACCTCTAGACCACTGAGGTGGCTGGTATCCTATTGTGTTGATGTCTAAGTTCATCTAATTCACGTAATTGAGTGACGCAGCCACCATTGTTTTCAGTGAGTTACTACCTTACAACAGACAGCATATGCTTACTACTGACTGACTTCGAGAGTTATTTCTTGGAGTTCTAGTGAAAAGCAGTAACCAGTGGAGTTCAACTAGGTCTGTTGTGAGATAGTAACTTAATAAAGACAATGGTAGACAGTGGCAAAATTTCATGGATTGATTGAAGTTAGACATTAACACCACTGGATGCCGGTCAGAGGTTAAGCCTTCGCGCGCGAGACCGATAGGTTCTGGGTTCAAATTCCGTAAGCAGAATCGTGAATGCGCACCATTGAAGAGTCCCATACTAGGACGAAACGGCCATTCAGGGCTTCCAGGTTTTTAATAACGGTCTAACATTGATCCATTCATGATCTCAATCAGCCAGTAACAACGTAGAACTTCGTACGTACATACATCAGTTCGAGTTGCCATACCATATTAGCACACAGATACAATTGTTCATTCAAATCCCATAATGGTAGAGGTAGTAAAAGTATAAGCAGTGATCGGAAAGATTAGGGTTTGAAGATGTTAGAAAGAGAAAATAGAGATATGAAGAATTTAGAAGATTAGAATTTGCGAGAACACAAAGAGTGAATGCACCTGCTCACACCATTGCAAATGATTTTGAACCATATCATTCAAGGTCTCTAACCATCGGTTTCTTTCATCTCGTGGATCTTAACCAGGTAGTCTACACCTACCAACATGTCTCACTCCACTTGTCAATGACTTCATAGATTTGTACCATGTTTTGGTTTGGCCGCCCCTAATTTCATCAAATAACCTCTGGTCATGAAATATAACTCAAGAGGTGGCATTTCAATCATAAACATATTATCAACTATGGATATTTTACTTACTCATTTAATAATCCTTTATTTCTAACTTCTTCAATTTCATGATCAACTTGATCTAAAAATTTTTGTAAATCATCTGATTCATTATCATCAGATCGTTTATTTCCTGATGGAGCTGATAGATTTTCTGGAAATGCATCAGGATCCATAAATACAGATCGATAACTAACATCTAAATTATAATCTAAAATTTTTGATGTTTGAAAATCTTCATCATCATCACCGAATGGATTCATAACACATAAAGCTACCTGAAAAATGTAGAAAAAAGAAATCCTCAGAAATCCTTGAAAATCAATATTCAAGACCTTTAAGAAAGACTATATATATATTCAGTGGAGCTTCGTGTAGAATTCTTCAGTCGATGGTTGATTTGGAAGTACTTCACCTAACTGTATATATATACATATATATATTATTTACTTATTTACGCCTGTTGCTCCTTGTGGAGGAGTGTAGGCCGCACACTAGCACTCTCCATTCAATACTGTCCTGGCCAATCCTTTCCAGCTCATTCCAGTTCTTATTTATCCTTTTCATACTTGATTCTGTTGCCCGACGTAATGTGTTCTTTGACCTTTCTATTTTTTTGCATCCCTTCAGGATTTCAAGTTATCGCTTGACTCGTGATACAGTTTGGTGATTTCTTCAATGTACATCCAATCCATTGGTGTAAAGTTAAGTCAAATGAATAACGAGACAGAAACTTGTGGACAACAGGCTTGGTTTGCATAATCAAAAGTGACTTGCACAATTCCTTTTCCTAGTATGATTCTAACCCGCCTGAATTTTGCTATCACTAATATTAGTAGTAATTATTAATACGTAATCGATAATTAATAGACTAGTAGCAGTTGTAAATAGTTAATCTTATATTTCTGATTGAGATCATGAACTGATTGATGTTAGACCACCATTGAAAACCTGGAAGTACTGGACAGCTGTCTCGTTCTGTCGTGAGACTATTCAGCAATGCACACTCACCATCGTGACGTTTACGACTGAAATCGATCAGTTTCTCTCGGCACATATGCATCCTCTAAGGTTTGTATCAAAGTTGATACTAAGTCAGAAGAATGCTTAAGTAGAAATGGATGGTGATTAGTAGTGAAATGCACGATGCTCATTTCATTCTAATTGAGATCATATTATACAAGTGAGCATCTATAATCTTTCTTAAGATATGAATCCATGTCACATACAATTAGAAAATATATATCAATTTCGTATATCGTCAGCATTTGAATTGACTAAGGTATTATTCGCCATATCATAGTATTGACATGCTTTTTAATGGAGTGAAATAAGAAACCGAAGGTTTTGTGCTTGTTAACAAGAATTCAGAAGCTCACTCACACTATTTTGAATCATTGAACGTATTCTACGTTATAAATTAGGCACATGCTTCAACGACAAATCATCCTTAAAGAAATTGTAATTTGATAGAACAGAAGTTTACCAGTTAGCCTACACTTCACTGGTTCACTTCAAAGGTTCCTAATGGATTTAACCTTAAAAAAATTGAACCGAAATAAAATACCATTTTTTTCATCATGTCTTTAACTTTATTTTCATTCAATGGAATATGAAGGTGGTATCTGATTGCCTTTCAACTGTTCATTTTATGCTAATAGTTGAATTCATGAGTTAATTTAAGCTAGATTACGATTGAGAATCTAGAAGAAGTTGATAGCCGTTTCGTTCTAGTATAGGACTTCTCAGCAGTGATCATTCACGTTTCCATATCAAAGGGACTCGAACCCAGGACATTCGGTCTCGCATGAAAACTCTGGATCAGAAACCAACGATGTTAATATTTGATTTCAATCCAGCTACGATGTTTCGCGATCATCTTTTGTTGTTTTCAGTAAGTAACTGACTCACAACAGACACAGATTTACTCTACTAGTGATGATTTCTTACTAGAACTCAAAGAAATCCATCATGAAGCTAGTCCCAAGTGAGCATATGATTATTATTAGAATAGAGGTTTGTGGAAATAGTAATAATTTTAATAGTTAAATTCATGAGTCGATCTAAACTAGACTATCATTGAAAATCTGAAAGCACTGAACGGCAGTTTCGTCCTAGTATTGGACTCTTCAGCAATGAATTCAACTTTGAATATACTACAATCTCCACAAACCCCATTGTATTCTAATCATAGTTGGATAAACCATTTATCAAATTAAAGGTTACATATAAATTTTTCTCTAAACAGAATCAATCCTTCTTACCTTTAACCAACCCATAAGGAATAAGAAAGAGAAGATACTAAAAATTGGGACATATAAATCCACATTATGTTGACCATTTTGATTACGATGTTCAACAAATTGACAAGCAAATATTTGACACATAAAATAACTATAAACTGCTATAATTACAACCTATAAAGTAAATAATCATCAATGTATTACATACTCATATATAAATGAATTAAACAATCATTTATGAATTATAATTGGAACTAGTTGAAGGTGTACAACATAAACTGATCAATGATTTGAAAGTATAAAGTTTGATGAATGAAACATACGAATCATGTCGGGTAGAGAAGTTGAGACTGATTATGAATACAGTAGTGTTGAGTACTGTGAAAGGTATGAGGGTGGTTATCACTTCCTGGTTGTCCACACCGTGGAAGGGTTCTTTTGAAGGTGCCTGAAAAGGAAATTGGATTAGAGGTGGTTTTAGTGACCGGAGAGCGTGACCACGGTGGCCAAGGGACAACTGCTTGAGGTTGGTCACACACGACCTTTTTATGGGTAATTATTGTGTTAGCTCCGTACTTGTTGAGACCTTACTGCTGGAGTCCGGTTTCTGTGGGATAAAACGAGGTGTGCATGATCGACCTTTTCTAACCCCACTCCTCCTTATCGGAAGACAGCACCACTGTCATGCTGGTTGTCTAAAGGAAACACCTTACTGCTGTCACACCTCTGTACACTCAGCAGTACAACTTCGCCTTCGGACCTTGGGTTTGTTGCTTTTAGTCTTACCTCTCTTCAACCGACCTGTATGGTATGGTAAGACCTTGAGGGATGGTTGTTCCAGCCAGTATAGCTCGATTGGTTCATCACGATAAGAAAGCTCGACCACCACATCAAGGTAGCAACAACGGTCGGGCGAGTAGAGAAGATGATTGCGTAATATCATGGATTGGTTAAAGTTAGACATTAACACCATTGGATACCGACCAGCTTAGTGGTCTAGAGATTAAGAAGTCGTGTTTGAGACCAAAGGCTCTGGATTTAAATCCCACGTGGCAGAATTGTAGATACGCACTGATGAGGAGTTTCGTACTGGGATGAAACGGCCATCCAATACTTCCAGGTTTTCAATGATGGTCTAACATCAATCGGGTTTATGATCTCAATCAAATAGCTACAAATATACTTGGTGAATAATTCGAAAATGTATTAGTGTTTGTCAATCGGGAGTAGAATGATAGTTTATCGATTCGTCAAGCTTTTATATACTGTATTTTTGTAAAATGGATTCAAATTAGACTGACTATTGAGTAGAATGACTGGGACATTTTCGAGATGGAAAATCAATTCATTCATGATGTTTTATGATTCAAGAAATCTAATCAAAGTACTCATTAGAAAATTAATTTATGACTTTTCCTATTAACATTATTGAAAACATAAACAGTGATTGATCACAAACAAATGGGAAGTTTCGAACAACCAAGAATTATCCTATTGCTCAAAGTATTAGTTCTGTGGATCATGTAATAACATTTGAAACGAACGGTGTTAGGTTGAAGTCCCGGAATGAATGTGACGCGGTTACATCCAGCTGACCAGTTACGAATAGTACATAAGGTGTTTTCATAGACCATCTCTGCTTAATAGCGTCCTATACAAACGTAGACTAACTATGATAGATAATTGCCAATATTCTTTATAGTACGGCGAGACTAGAATTTATGAATGACCTTTGAACGAATCTTAAGTGGTTAATCAGGAAACTGGTAGTTTAGAGTAAAAATGTATTATACAAAACCAAAGAATTAGAGTGAATACACTTCTTTTGCATGATTTAAACACTTTATAAGGTTAGAAAGAGGTTCAGAGGTTCTGCAATCATAATGCATATGATAGAGGAACTGATCCATATGGTTCTATAGTAGTCGACCTCTGCAGATATAATAAAGTCGCAAAACTTCTTTCAGCCTAGACCTTATAGCTTCAGTATTGCTTTTGTGCACTACGGTTGCTGGGTCCACAAAATGCTACTTGTAGACAGCGACATGATGCACATAACCAAGTCTATGTAGGCATCGATACGCTCTCCAGTCATCCGTTTATATTGTAGTACGCGGCTGCATATATTACCGTTTACTTGACCTGTCGTATATTCCAAGGACCTGTGAAGTATATTTATGGAAGTGCTACCTACCCAGTCTTATCTAACACTAAATCCTTTGTTGAATTTTCGTTTTCTGACAACTGTTTCGTCTGTTTCAACTGTCCTCATGACTCCTCCAAACGAATCGTGTAAGCTTGTCATTCTTACTGAGCATATATCTCTACAATACTCATACCATTGAACAGTCGAAGCTTCAGTAAAATCTACAAATGTTGCAGCCAGTTCTCAACAATGACCATAATTTGCCTTAATCTCAATCTGGATCGAGCAAAAAATTCCTATTCTAACAGACTTCTCCCTCCAACATACGTTACATCGAAAAAGCATCATCACAGTAGTCTGTACAAGGCCCACAAGTCATTTGATTTACATAATCAAAAATCAAGGAGCTTCTTAGTAGTCCCATTTGTTGTGAACCGATCGTACATGAGCATCTAGTACTGAAATTGTCGCTGTGACCTTGAAATCCTTCAAACGCTTCTGATTGGCTCATCCATAAATTATAAGAATTACCTAACAATTATGTCTTATAGTTTGCAACATGAATTTATTTTAGTTAGACAATTGTTGAAGCAGATGTGAAGGCGCGGATCGGCAAAGCAAGAGCAGCATATTTACGACTGAAGAACATCTGAAACTCAAAACAACTGCCAACCAACACCAAGGTCAAAATTTTCAATACAAATATCAGGACAGTTCTACTGTATGGGGCAGAAACCTGGAGAACTACCAAAGCCATCATTCAGAAGATACAAGTGTTTATTAATAGCTGTCTACGCAAAATACTTCGGATTCGTTGGTCAGACACTATCAGTAACAACCAACTATGGGAGGGAACAAACCAGATTCCAGTGGAGAAATAAATCAGAAAGAAGCGTTGGAAGTGGATAGAACACTTATTGAGGAAAGCACCCAACTGCGTCACAAGGCAATCCCTCACATGGAATCCTCAAAGCTAAAGGAAAAGAGGAAGACCAAAGAACACATTACGCCGGGAAATGGAGATAGACGTGAGTAAAATGAACAAGAGTTGGATGGAACTAGAAAAGAAGGCGGAGGACAGAGGGGGATTGGAGAATGGTGGTCGGCGGTAACAGGCGTAAGTAAGTAAGTAAGTAAGTAAGTAAGTAAGTAAGTAAGTAAGTAAGTAAGTAAGACAACTGTTGAAAATCCTGGATTACTGGATAATTGTATCTTTGTAGTATGGGACTCCTCAATAATGTACATGTACGATCCCGTTGGAAATCGAATTCACGACTTTCAAGTCTCACATCTGGAGCTTGAACGTTTTAGACCATTGAGTTTGTACATATACTTAGAATAATTTAACAAGCCTTATGAAACATTCACTTTTAAATTCAAATAATATAAAACAAGTTTGTTTTCTCGTTCTATCTGTCAGTCACATTCTACTATGATACTGTTAAGTCGTTGAATTCGAATTCAGTGATCTTCTTCATTTGTAAATTCTGTCAAATTATTGTATAACTTGAAATTGAATTAAAACTTTTATCAATGTTTCACTTACTTGAGTATACACTAATGGAATCATAATACTACTGTATACTTGTAAATTCTGCATACTTTGTCTAACTCTACCAATATTCTATAAAAATAAGTGAGAAGATAAAGATTGATCAATTTTGCGAATGAATACTATTAATTGGTAACTAATTGTATAACTAACAAAAGGCAAGTGATTATGCTAACTATGAACTTACATACTTACTTACGCCTGTTACTCCTCGTGAAGGAGCAGAGGCCGCTCAACACTGTCCTGGGTAATTCTTTCCAGGTCCTTCCGGTTGTTATTCATCCTTTTCATATCTGCTTCAATTTCTTCACGTAATGTGTTCTTTGGCCTTTCTATTTTTTTGCATCCCTTCAGTATTGCAAGTTAGGGCTTGCCTCGTGATGAAGTTTGGTGATTTCCTCAATGTATGTCCTATTCACTTCCATCGTCTTTTCCTAATTTCCTGTTCAGATGGAAGTTGATTTTCCCTCTTTCACAGTAGAATGTTATTGATGGTATCCGGCCAATGGATGTCGAATATCTAGCGTAGACAACCATTTATAAATACTTGTACCTTCTTGATGTTGGTTGTTGTAGTTCTACAAGTTTCAGCTCTGTACAGTTGGGCTGCCTTGACGTTTGTATTGAAGATTGTGACTTTGATGTTGGTTGAAAGTTGTTTTGAGTTGCATATGTTCTTCAGTTGTAGGAATGCGGATCTTGCTTTGTCAATCCTCACCTTTACTTCTGCATCTGAACCTCCTTGTTCATCGACAGTGCTTCCCAGGTATGTGGAGGGTTCTACGTCTTCCAGAGTTTCGCCATCAAGTGTGATTGGATTGCTGTTCTCCGCTTTGAATTTTAGGACCTTGGATTTGCCCTTGTATATGTTGAGGCCTACTGATGTAGAGACTGCTTATACACTGGCTGTCTTTATCTGCATTTGTTCGTGTGTATGAGATAGGAAGGCTAGGTCATCTGTGAAGTCTAAGTCGTCTAACTGGTTCTGAGCTGTCCATTGTATTCCGTGTTTTCCCTCAGATGTCGAGGTCTATGAAACTTGACACTAATTACTAAGAATATGATCTAAGATTAATATTTGTTTTATGGATTATGAATTACTGTTCGAATGTTTAGCCTATCGACGGTTTCATTTATCTTGAGAGTTTCATCAGTCCTTGTGGTCTGGTGTGTGATAAAATCTTAGCAGGGATACAGAAGGCTTGACTAGCTTTTGCTAAATTGCGTCATTTATAGTGTAGGCGTGATATCCGTCTACCGACCAAATGACGGGTTTACTGCACAGCAGTTCGTTCTGTCTTACTTTATGGCTATAAAACATGGTCGGTAATAGTAGAGGACATTCGTAGGTTACTAGAATTCGATCATAGGTGTCTTCGAAGCATTGCTCGTATATCGTGGGACCAACGAGCAAGTTGTTAGGAAAGGGGTACTAGGTAAGGATGGCAAATCAATTGATGGATTAATGAAACTTCATCAGTTGAGATGGCTGGGACACGTGTTACGTATGCCCAACCACTGATGTGCGATGTTTTATGGTGTAAGAGTAGGATGGAAGAAAACTAGAGTTGGCCAGACCAAAACATGGTACAAATTCATTAGGTCACTGACAAGTGGACTGAGCCATGTTGTTAGGTGTAGACTACCTGGTTGGGATCCGCGAGATGATAGCAACTGATGGCTAGAGACCTTGAATGACATGGCTCAAAATCGTTTGCAATGGCGCAGGTGCATTCACTGTTTGTGTTCTCCCAAATTCTAATCTTCTGAATTTTTCATGTCCCTTTCTTTCTTCTCTTTCTAAATTTATTTCACTAGATTATACTCCTTGAATAACCCTGTTCTTAAATTTTACTCAGTTTATTAACTGGTGTCTGCCACGTTCACAGTCACTTTTTGGCTTGATCTTGTATAAATGTTATTTGCTACTTTATGGTGTGAAGTAGTCTGTTTGGTGGGTATATAAACCAAGTATGTTTGAAATATATGATTCATACCTGATAGGTTGAGATAGGTGCTCTGGACTTAACTGGCAGGACTAGGAGGAAAAGGACCAAAAAAGACGCTAGGCTATTCGTACCTGTCGATACGTCATTGGTTTGGCACAGTACTAAGATTAAATAAGTTGTATTTCGATTGGCAAATAAGTCACATGATATTAAGCCTAGCTTAAGGTCACAACAATCTTCAGGTTGGTATTTCAACTTATTTAAGAATTATCTAATAATTTAATAGTTGACTTCATGAGTCAACTGAAGCTAGATCATCATGGAAAACCTAGAAGCACTGGACTGCCATTTCGTTCTATTAAAGTATTATTGAGGAGTCCCACAATAGGACAAAACGGCCGTCCAATGTTTCTGAGTTTTACCATGGCGGTCTACCTTAAATGAATTCAACTTTCAAATTACAAAATGCCATCTCTGATTTTAATTATTTAACAGTTATCTACAAAGATTTTAAATGGAATAGAATAATAGAACATACTTCAACAGTATAAAATGCTACTTTAGGATCATCAATATAACCACTTTGTAATGCTTTTAATGTTAATCTTTGAGCCCATTGTATAGGTACCCAATATTCTGGTGTATAATTAGTTTTTGTACGTCGAAACCAATCAGCTGCTATACGTTCAAATGATGAAATTTCTTTTTCAGTAATTAATACACCAAATGAACTTTTCACTTCTATTAAAATAATAATAACAAAAAGGAGAGATCAATTGGAATAAAAAAAAACAGTATAGAATATTCATCTTGTACGGATTGCCTCGATATAGCCTCAAGTCACAAGCTTTCTGAGCAAAGATGGATAGTGGCTAGTAGTAGAATCTAGGACGTGTGTTCCGTCTTAATTGGGACTCATCAGCCGGATGTACTTGCATCCCAGAGATGATGTTCACTCCGGGACTCAAACCCAGAACCGTTCGCTTCAAACTTTATTGCGCTATCCACTTAGCTACTTAGTCCTTACAGTCAACTGTTTGTTCAATGGGGTGAAGTTTAAATTCACTTAGTGTTGTTTTACTTGTATCTTCTCATTGTTATTTAGAACTGAAATTGATTAGTCTCTTGTTGGCATGTGTGCACCCTGTGCAGATTGCCTTGATATTGGCCTTAATTCACAAACATGGTCAGTAAAGATGGATAGTGGCTAGTAGTAGAATCCTGGACGCAAGTTTCGTCCTGCTAGACACTATCTATTTTTTCATAAATGATTGATCATTTGATTATTATGAAAATATTATTGATGGATTATAGTGAAAAGAATAGTAGCATAATAACAAAAGATGTCAACAACTATCTGTTAAAAACATATACATATTTACAGTTGATTATTTACTGAATAGCGACCAAAATCTTGTGCCTTTAGTGTTGATCGAATTTGGTCACTGTTATAAATGACTTGACATCTTATGCAGTTTACTGGGTTGTTAAGTTGCTAAACATGGTTTTGTGTTATTCGGCACTTTCTAGCAATCCCTACTCATAATATATCAGAAAACTAATCCATTCTAGTTTACTCGAACTTTATCACCCACCGGAAAACATCAGTTTTCTCAGGAATACAGGTAGGCTTTAATGGAGAGTGACAAATAGGAAGAAACCAAGGTCTATTGTTTCTTACAATTGATTGATCACTAGGTGGTGATCAATGTCATGTCTGTCAGGTCTTTCTTAGTGCAGATTGAATCCTATCGACCAATTTGCAATAAGACCACCAATCTAGGTGACTCAACATTGCATGCACTATGTTGAGATGAGATGGTGGTTGGATGTAGTCAACACGAAACCCTGGATCTAAGTTTCATACTACATGGCACTCGTCAGTAAGGTGTAGCTGTTATGCTCCCTGACGGATTCGACCCCGTGTCACTCAGCTTCACAGTCAGATATGTTACCACTGGTCTATCCAAGCCGCTTTTGACCTCCTGTAGGACTGAAATGTATTTACAATTGATTGATCACTTGGTGGTAATCAATATTAAGTATATCAGGTCCTTCTTAGTGCATCTTTGGAATTTTTGAGGCTTTTATCTGACAATACCATCTAATATGAACAATATAGAATATCTAACATTCATGTATCACAGTATGTTACCACTGAATCTCTCTATAAGAGTGTGTATTCTATAATGATAATCATATATTCACTACTGATTTGATTTGATCAGGTTCTCAAAGATCTAGTAGGAACTATGATGGACAGAATCAATCAAGTTAGGAATGGAACAATAATTTTTCAATGACACCAGTTCAGTATTTTACTATGGAATTCATTGAAGGGTTAGAAATATTGATTATTTGATTATCTGTATATAGTATAAATGTAGCATGCTCATCATAACGACTGACTTTTGTGACCTAAAATACATGTATAGTTCATTGAGGGGTACCATTAATTTATTCTAGATCATTTCTCCCTAGACTTCAATAATTCTCAGGCGACTGTCAATTTTTCTAATAACAACCATCTTCATTCTTGTTACATTGGCTACTTGATTAACGTAGAATATGATAATACAACTAACGGCAGTCGAATGCATAGAATCCTACAGTCATAAAATCAGAAGAAATCAGAAGTTATTGTTGAGTAAGAATCAAGAATATACAGAAAATCATGGATATTTATAGATATTAGCCTTAGCTACAACATCATTATAATTCAGTCAATCCACAAGGAGGCAAGTCAAGTTGATCTTCTAAAAAACTGTATCAAGCTCAGATTGAGTGTAAACTCTTCGGATCTTCTAGAGTCTCTGGACGTTCCATCATACTTCTTGAAAGTCATCTCAACACTTCCATACAGATCCTTTCCATAAAAGATCACAGATTCATTCCATTAGTTTGAATACAAAATACAAATGAATCATAGTTATTTACTTACTTTGATCTTGATTAAATGCTCTTAACATTTCTCTTAATTCTACAACATCAGCTGCTTCAAATGCATCAGGTAATGCACCACATTCTTCATCTGTAGCTAATGGTGCTAATGGTGTATGAACATCTGAAGAATTAGGTGTTTGTGGTTGAACAAATATATTATTTAATGGACTATCTAATTTAGTTTGTATTGGATATTGTGATTGAGATAATTGTTGTTGTAATATTGATTTTGATGGTGATGTACGTACTACTTCACTTGCATCAATTGACCATGGTTGACATGTATTTCTACTTATTAAATGTTTATGATTTGTTGATTTACGTTTAGGTAATACAGGACCTAATGCACTTGGTAAACTACCAATATCATCATTTTTAATAAAACGACATGCAATTTGATCTGAGATACGTTTCATCATTAATACCCAGGCTAAATTCATATAACGCATAATAGTTAAACGAATTTTACGTGAACCTTCTTCATTTTTTGCATTGATAGATGACTAGAATAAAAGAAAATGTAAAATGAAAAGTGTTATGAAGTAGTAGTTGGTTAGTTAAATCTTCTCATTGATGTTAAGAACTACAGTTGATCAGACTCGTTTTGACATGTCTGTATCTTGTCATTTGATTAAAAACATTATAAAGAGAGATGGATGGACATGTATAGCTGATAAGTTTCAGAGAAGATGAAACACGCATTCTGGATTTCACTGTTAAACACCATCCATCTCTATTTACACAGTGGTTTATTGTTAGGAAAGTGAATGCAGTTTGAGTTTATTCAATTTCAAACAAACAGCAGTATTGTATTACTATATTTTCAACAACCACCACCACCACCATTAGGGTGCTTGGTACTTGTGTGGTTGCACCACAGGATTGAGCTGTACTATTCAGATTCTAGTGCCAAAGTCCATATGGTGTCTGATTCTCCTGTGGAGCGGGATTGAGCTATACTCCTCGGGTTATAAAGTTTAAGCCTAGATGGTGTCTGGCTCTTCTGTTAACCGGGATTGAGCTATACTGTTTGGGTTGTCACATGAAAGTCTGGATGGTCCTCCTGAAAACCAATGTAAAATTACCCTGGCCCACAAGGGTATTCTATTTAACTATTCTAATCAGTAATATTGTCTATTATTCTTAAAATTTAGGGGATAAAAGTTCGAGTTAAGTTTACTTCTATTTTTAGTTCAACTAGTATCCAACTAAGATTGAGATAGTTTAATTTTACCCAAGAAAACGTTCAGTAGTCATTTAAGAAATGATGTTGGCGATAATATAATACGAATATTCTTGGAATCTACTACATGAATTAACTTGCTGAAATGATGACAAAGTGTTGAAATTTGAAATAATGAAAATAGCTTTATTGTAAGAGAGTGAGTGAACAATCCAATAGTATTGAAAAACTTAAACAGTTCCTGAAGTTCTAATGGGAAACAGTGATCGGTAGAGTTCAACCGGGTCTGTTGTGAGATAATAACTCACTGATGACAATGGTGGATGTGTTGCTCAATTTCGTAGATTAGTTGAAGTTAGACATTAACATGTAGTGGCTGTGCTTCTATAATTAATCACCCTCGAACCGTTATCGTATAATCTTCAACGATGTTTGAAATCAGAAGGCAAAGAGAAGCAGCTACTACAGTTTTATTTAGTAGATAATTCGGACCAGACAGCAGAGAGGCAAAATGAATGAGCAAGCGAACTACGATTGTAACAGTAGCAAGTAGCTGTAGTAGTAGTAGTAGTTGTTGTAGTAGATGGGTGCAAATGTACACATATATATATATATATAGGAAAATGGATGAGTCAGCGAATAGATTAAGCAGTTAATAATGAAGCTAGCAGAATGAATACATGCGTAGGCGCTAAACAATGTTCAAGCGTATGTATTTCATACAAGCATTAATAATAAAGATAGTACAACAAGTTGTTATATCATGGATGACTTTGTCCACTAAATAAGTTAACAAAAAGGGCTTAACTGGGTTAAATGAAAATAAACCCATTAGCACGTGAGTCGCTATAATAGCTCCCCCCTGCAAACAAAGATATATGGAAAAATGTCTGTGTTTGCACAAAAAAATAGCAAACTGAGTAGGGTAGTTACAATCGTTTGAAACAAAATGGTTTGTACAAAATTAAGATGAAGTTGGTGTGTGCTGTACATTTGATTTGCGCCTGTCCGTGAGGTTACTTAAAATAATAGCAAGAAATAGAAGGAATGTGGTACTGTCTTTACATTTTAAACAAAAATTATACGCATAAGTGTAAGGGTACATAAAATACGTTGAGTTTTATAACGTATAACATGAGCTTAATAATGCATGTGTATACGATGAGGTAGAAGTTATAATTAATATTTAAAATAGTAGATTATTATTAATAGAAAATTGTAGCGACATAATGTTGGGGCCATCTTACTCTGCGGCCGGATCTTGTTGTTATCGGAGTCTTGTCTTTTTGTTGAGTTAACGTTGTTGATTTTTGGGACTCGTGTTTCGCTGGTATGACCATCTTAGATGAGTCTGTACTTGTTGATTGATTATCGCTATCGATGAAAGCTGGCTTTACTCGATCGATGCTAATTACATCTGTCTTCCCAGCTTTTTCTATGGTAACCGTTTTATTTGTCCTCTCTATCACTTTAAATGGTCCGTCGTAACTCGGTTGAAGAGGTGGTTGTACTTTATCTCTTCTAATGAATACGTGAGAGCTGTTATGCAGTTCCTGTGGTATGAACACCCGTCGTTGTTGTGGTCTGGGAAGTGTTATTTTTAAATCGCTCATGTGCTTTCTCAGGCGTTGCACATAGCCGGTTACATCAGTCGGGACATTTTTACTTGAAGTGAAGAATTCTCCGGGTAATCGTAGAGTAGTTCCGTAAACTAACTCGGCTGGACAACACCCCATGTCTTGTTTAATTGTTGCTCTTAGAGCTAACATTACTAGGGGAAGTTTATTAGACCAATCGTTGTTAACGATGACGGCTGTAAGGGACGCTTTTAATTGCCTATGTAGGCGTTCAACCATTCCGTTTGCCATTGGATGGTACGACGTCGTTCGGATTCGTTTAATACCGAGGAGTTCAGTAAGCTGCTGAAAGAGTCGACTTTCGAATTGTGCTCCTCTATCCGTTGTGATAATCGTTGGTACACCGTAGTAAGAAATCCAATTTTCAACTAGAGTTTTAGCTACCGTTTCAGCTGAGGTGTCTTTTATCGGCACTGCTACCGGCCATCGTGTAAACCTATCGATGCATGTAAAGATATAGTTGTATCCATTTGAAACGGGCAGTGGTCCTACAATATCGATGTGTATATGTTCAAATCTAGTGTCTGGGTGCGAAAACGGACCTACTGCAGAGCTAGTATGACGATGTACCTTCACTTTTTGGCACTTCATGCATGCTTGTGTCCAATTACGTACATCGTGATTCATGTTTGTCCATACGAATCGTTCACTAATCAGCTTTATCGTGGCTTTTATTCCTGGGTGCGACATGTTGTGCATGCTTTCGAATATTTTGTGTCGCAACGTTTTCGGGATAAATGGTCGCGGTCGGCCTGTTGATGTATCGCAAATTACTTTCGTGTTACCAAACCGCACCTCTTCGAGTACTAATGATGTTGAACCTCCGGATCTGAGTTTATTTAGCTCGATGTCTCTCTCCTGCAACTTTGCTAGACCGTTATAATCAATTCCACTTGCCATAAGTGTGCTTATCGTTGCTCGTGACAATGCGTCGGCCACATCGTTTTCTTGTCCTTTAACGTACTGTATGTCGGACGTGAACTGTGAAATGAACTCTAGTTGTCGGATCTCTCTCGGAGAATAATTGTCTTGCTTTGCGCTTAATGCTTTTGTTAGCGGTTTGTGGTCTGTATAGACGGTAAAACTTATGCCCTCAACCATATGACGGAAGTGTTTTATTGCTAAGTAGATTGCTAACAATTCTCTTCCAAACGTACTATATCTCGTTTGGGTAGGATTTAATCTTTTCGAGAAAAATGAAAGCGGTTCCCATATGCCATTTACTAATTGTTGTAAAACGGCTCCTACCGCTACGTCTGATGCATCCGTCATGATAGCTAACGGTGTTTCGCTCTTTCGTCTAGTTAGTGTCACTTCTTTGTTTAGTGCTTTTTTAGCGTTCTCGAATGCTTGAATCGCGTCTGGTGATAATTGGAATGTCCGTGCGTTTCCGCGTAATGCATCTGTTAGTGGTTGCAATATTGACGCGCAATTCGGGATAAATCGTCTGTAATAATTTATTAACCCGAGAAATCGGCGTAACTTTTTCCATGAGTCAGGTAGGGGATAATTTTTGATGGCGTCGACTTCTGTTGCTATTGGTGTGATGCCTTGAGAAGTTATATTGTGACCTAGGAACTGTAAAGATTCCTTTCCGAATTCACACTTCTCAATATTTATAGAAATACCATGTTCTCTGAGTCGTATAAATAATTGCCGTAGTTGTTGTATATGCTCATCTTTAGTGGTGCTAGCTACTAATAAATCGTCGATATACGCGTATACTCCAGGTAAACCTCTAATGACCTGGTCGATAAACCGTTGAAAGGTTTGTGCTGCGTTAGTCAGTCCAAAAGGCATACGCAGGAATTCATATAGCCCAAATGGGGTTGTTACTGCTGTCTTCGGTATGTCTTGTGGGGCAACAGGGATGTGGTAGTATGCTCTGACTAAGTCGATCTTCGAGAAGATAGTAGTGCCCTCAATACTGTAGGTGAAATCATGGATGTGCGGTATAGGGTATCTGTCAGCTACGGTTTGTTTGTTCAGTGCTCTGTAATCTCCACATGGCCTAACCTCTCCATTCTTTTTCGGGGCCATATGTAGCGGGGATGCCTACGGGCTGCTCGATGGCCTTATAATGCCTAGCTTCGTTAGCTTGTCGAATTCCTGTTTTGCGATGGCTAGTCTTTTGGGATCTAACCTTCTTGGTCTTGCTTTGATTGGTGGACCATTCGTTACGATGTGATGCTGAATAGAATGTTTGAGATCCGCTTTATTGTATGTTATTTTTACGAGTTCAGGGAACTCCCTTAACAACAATTTATATGGATCACCACGACTTTTATCTATCACAAGGTTCATTGAAACGGCTTCCGTAAGTATTCCTCTTATCGAAGTGGTTTGACTGCCGTTTATAAGTCTGTGTCGTCTCGAGTCTACTAGCAGGTCAAAGTTACATAAGAAATCTATGCCTATTATGGGCATCGGTACGTCTGCTATGACAAAGTTCCAACGGTATGAAGCGCCACGTCCAAAATCTAGGAACAATTTCCGTTTACCATATGTCTTAATATCTGATTTGTTTGCTGCTCTTAGCACTAATGACGGATTAATGTTTTTTCTTTCCTCGTTAAATGGAGGTACTACGCTAATTTCCGCTCCAGTGTCAACTAAGAATTGTGCGCCAGTGGTTCGGTCTTGTATATAGAAGAGGCGACTATTTTCAGGCATTATGTGCGTT